AACACTGGGACACAACAAGGACAGCTGATCTGCCCCCCAATCAGTGCAGGACCACTCAGAGGAGACTGGTCAGGAATAGAGAATTGCATGGGGTGCAGTTTAATGAAAAGACTCAGGCCCAGATCAGAGTTTCTACACAACCCAGGTGCACTGGGTCTCTGGAAAGCCCAAAGTATCTACAAGGTCAACCATTAAACCCCGAGCTGCACAAAAAGCCTTCTCTAGGGAAACAGCAGCAAAGCAGCAATTTAGCTCAACCATAGAGCTCAAGTACTGGTCCCCACAGGAAGTTCCCTCATTTTAGAAATAAGCAAAGGACAAAAATTTAGTCCTGGCACAGGCACACCACCAGTGCCTTGGAGACCACCAAGGGACCTGAGGTATGGAACCAGGGACCAGAACCCCCCACAACCAGGCACACCACCAGCCATAAGGAGCATGCCAAAAACATCACCTCCATGTGGGTGGCCCACCACAGCCACCATAGTAACCATGGCTGCCGTGAAAGTGGCTAAACATCACAATCACCATGCAGATGGTCCACCAGCCACTGAAGTACATTGACACAAGGACAGTCACCAGCAGAGACCAAAGAAAAAAAGAGGCTGTCTCTCTCCACAAAGCCCATTCCAGAGTGACAGAAGAAGCATCTGATCTACAATAATACTGGGGGACCTGTACACACCTCTCAGCATTGGACAGATCATCTAAGCAACAAATCAACAGAGTAACCATTACTCTTTCAGAGGAAGAGAAGAAATCTAGGGTTATCAGAGGTGGGAGGGGGGAGGAGAAGGGGACAGGGAGAGATTGGACAAGGGGCATAAAGAATAAGTACAATTTGTAACAATATATATGCTAGTAATATTGATTTGATCAACATATGTCAATGTTGAACTCCCAAAATATGTATAACCAATTATGATTCAATAAAAAATTTTTTTCAAAAAAACTTTAAATTTTAAAAGTTTGCCTTTTAAATCCATGACTTTATATTTGGGGACCTAGATGATGACCAGGACAAACTACACTGCTAACGGAGTAGCTCTACAGAGTACCACAGTCTGACTAATGCAGTGTGGCCACTTTATAGAAAAAGACAACACACTCTGCCATAGAGTCAGAGTACTAGAGCCACAAGGTAATCTTGTATCCCAGGACAATACGCTCATGATAGCTCATTTTATGTCAACTTGACTGGGACACAGGATTCCCAGATACTTGGTCAAACCTTATTCTGGGTGTTTCCAAATAAGTTTAACATATAACTGATAGACCCAGTAAAGAAGATTGCCCTGTTTAATATGGGTGGGCCTCATCCAATCAGTTTGAAGTCCTCAGTAGAACAAAAAGGCTGACCCTCCCCAGAGAAAGAGAATTCTTTCTGTCTGACTGCTTTCAAGTTTGGACATCAGTTTCATCCTGCCTTCAGACTCCAACCGAAACATCAGCTTTTCCTGGGGCTCAGGCCTGCCAGTTGCAGATCTTGGGACTTCTCAGCCCACAAAATCACAGAGCCAATTCCTTATAATTAATCTCTCTCTTTCTCTCTCTCTCTCTCCACACACACACACACACACACACGGCCTCTCCTATAGGTTCTGTTTCTTTGGAAAACCCTGCCTAAATACAATGCTGTAAGGGAAAAAACCCTCCCTACAGAGCCACCAAAGAAAGGAAGCTATGAAAGCCACATTCCGCACCAAGATAACCAAGAGGGAACAGGCCACAGCAGGTAACAAATGGTGACACTGTTAGAAAGAAAGTGAACTTTGAAAACACAACGTGATAGAACTATTCCTACTTGGTGTAAGAGGCCTGGAACAAGAGATCAAAAATGTAAGAGACTGGGACGTGGGAGTAGGGAGTGTTGAGGGAGGAAAGGCTGAATAAGAGAGAGAAGACCTGCTCACAGATGAGATTTTTTTTTTTCTGAAGAAATTATTGTTCACACAATTTTAGATAGATGCCTCCTTTCCAGTATATGTTTAACATTTAAACTAATAAATGTTTAAATGTTTAATGTCAATACCACATGTTCTCACTTATTGGTGGGAGCTAAAAATAAATGAATAAATTCACACACACACACACAAAAAAAAAAAACCGGGGGTGGGAAGAAGACTTAACAACTACAATTCCTTGAAGTTGATACAACAAGCAAATACAAAAGACATTGTTGCGAGGGAGAGGGGAGAGGGAGGGGGGAGGGAGGTTTCAGTAATGGGCCACAATAATCACCCACATTGTATATCGGCAAAATAAAATTAAGAATAAATAAATAAATAAATAAAATTAAATAAATAAATAATTAAATAAATTTTTAATGTCACTCTTGCCATTGTGTGTACTGCTCCCTCCCTCCAGAGCAATAGGTATGACCACAAACACACACACACACACACACACACACACACACACACACACACACACACACACACGACCTGCTGCAAAACCTCAAATCCTCATTAAAAATGCTAATAACTAATTAAGCCCTGAAGAGTTTTGCTTTTTCATTCTTGTTGATTTAAATGTCATGGTGCTCCTGAACAATATTCTATAGCTTAGCAAATATGTTCATCTTATACAACATACATGTGTACTTAAAATCACATTTGTTCTGGTTCACACAGAGAGGAAATGGAAGGTCTCAAAAGAAAGACTTGTGGAATTTCAAGAAAGTTCCAGGATCACAGCCATTCTTTTCTAGTACATAAGTTAAAGACATTACAAAAAAGTTCCAAACCAGCTGGGTGTGCATAGGCTTATGATATGAATGGGAATCTAGGATTCACTAAGTCACGCCTTTGGGGAAAGACCTGTTTTGCCTACCCACCTTTGGTCAGGTTTTGGGATTGGTGTTCAGCATTGCTTTACCCCACTCCCACAACATTCCCCACCAAGAGGTTGTCTCTCCTGCAGGCTCAGTACTCAGTATTCATAGTTTGCACAAAACAAGACTGATTCTGAATGTGGCCCACGCAGGGCTGGTGAATGTCAAGGAACCCGTCTACTGAACCTTGTCATGCCGTTCTCACCCTCGCGTGTCCCTTCTCCTCCTGCCTTATGTGTCCTTTCTTCCCAAGGGTGAAGAGTTGAGGTTCTGGAGCCAGATGACATGGGACTGAATACTGTTCCTGACACTTCCTAGCTATGCGTGACCTTGGGACAGTTATTTATCTCTTTGTACCTCAGATTCCTCAGCACGAAAATGTCAAAAATTAAGAGTGCCTAGCATGCAGAGCTGCGAGGATGAACTGAGTTCAGGGGTCAAGTCCTTGGAGCAGTGCCTGGCATGGGGGAAGTATCAGGAAGTGTCAGCCTTTGTGGACCCTGAAATCTCCTAGTCGTTTTTCCAGACCCAACTTTGTGGTTCCCTGTGGTTCATGATATGGGTCCACAGTATTTAGCAGCCTGCCTCCCCTCCTCAAGACTGAACAGGGATTACCTCTTCTTTCTCAGTATGTCTCCCACACAGTAAGTGTTCTGTGAATGTGGACTGAGTGCACACAGGGACAACTAATGCTAACAAGGGAGCTGGTGACCTGAGGCTCCAGGCAGTGCAGTCAGCAAAGGTCCAGTTAGAGTCCTGCTAAGAAACACAACTCACTATTTTGGTATATGAGCAATTTCTGAGACTTTTGGTTGGCTAAATTCATTTGCTTTAAAATCTTTCAAATGAGGTCACTTTTGTTTGCATACTTGTCATTCCTAACAGCATAGAAAGGTAATCATAACAAAGCTCACTGAATCAATGCTTCTTCAGCCCCAAGAGATGAAACCCCTAGAAATATTTATGAGCAATCTCAGAGGGTTACATTTAACTTTCAATTACATATAATGCATAATTTTCATGATTAAAGAGTCATCAAGAAACATCTTTCCAATTACAAACAAAAGCAAAGCACCGCAGAGACCCAGGGTGAGGCAGAAGCAACAACTGCATCAAGGCCTGCCTCCCCCACTGATGCACCCCTGAAAGGAGAAGGGATCACGGTAGCACCGTCAGACTAACTGGCCCTCATTTCAGCTACGGGATTTGATCTCAGTGTCAAAAAACCCTCCGTGGAAAGTGTGAAACACCCTACTAAAAGGCAAGCCCCGAAATAAAGTAATGCATTACTCCTGACACACATCTGCTAGTTCCTCTGAACGTGCCTCATGGTATTTATTCACGGAGGAGACAAGGAAGGAGGAGAAGAGGACAGACAGACAGAAAGACAGAGACACACACAGAGTCCTGGTCTGGTTCACACTTAAGAAACTCAGTAAATGTCACAGCCTGTTTGCTGTGTGATTTTTGTTACTCCCACATGAAATATCCAGAGATTTAAGCTTATTATCAAGTAGATTAATAAAAGCCATCTTCTCTACTGTGGCAAAAAGAAAAAGAGTCATAAAGGAATTCAAATTTGCTAACACTCTGTAAAGTAAAAGAATAGGTGGATTCACATCTTCTTCAGTTTGAATGTATCCCCTCCAAAATTCAGGTGTTGCCAATGTCACAGTACAAAGATACGGAACCTTTCAGAGGTGATTAGGCCATGAGGGCTGCTCCCTCCTTAACAGGATTAAGGCTCTTTTAAAAGAGGCTTCAAGCAGTTCGGTTAGGTTGCCCTTCTGCCTCACATGTGAGGACGCAGCAAGAAGGCCCTCCCCAGACCACATGCCAGCACCTTGATCTTCCCAGCCTCCAGAACTGTAAGGAATAAATTTCTGTTTTTATAAATTACCCAGTCTCAAGTATTTTGTTGCAGTAGCACAAACAGGACTAAGACAGCAATCTTAATTTCCCGGCCAAATGACATCTCTCACTTAATTAAAAGAATTTGGGAAGACCAGTCTAAGGTCACCTGGATACTATTTAGAGTGAGGAAACCTATGAACATCAAGTGAAACAAACTACTCAAAGAATCACAGGAAACATTTCTGAAGCGTTCGGCTAGTTTGGTTTTACAAAAAGTACACTGAGTAGCAGGCACCCAAGGAAGCCTACTTACCACAATATCCTCCGGAAATGTGTCTCTGCTGAAGGAGCCATCATCAAACATGACCTCATAGAAGGTTTGCGATGTCACAGCGATCACTCTGCAGCTGTAATACCGTGTATTCCGATGCTTTGTAATGACCGTCTGACCCACGGAGATGGCCTTCTCAGAAGCCTTGGACTTCTAAAAGAAAAGACAGAGAAAGAGGGAAGGAAAGAAAGAACAGAGAGGAGAGGAAAAGAAAGGACGTAAAATAAAAGAAATGTTTATTTAGAAAACAATCATTAATCTAGACAAGATTTTAAAATTTTTTTAATTTAGTATTAGAGGATAATTTCAAATTCATAGATAAGTTGCAAGAATACAAACAGTACAAACGACACTCTTATACCCTTTGACCCTTTACCCAGATTCATCTATTGTTATCTATTGCCATTACTAATATCTTACCATTTGCATTATTGTTTGCATATTCTGTTATATGTGTATGTGTAGAAAGAATATGTATGTGTGTCTGTGTGTGTATATATATACAGTTTGTTTCTCTCAAACCATTTGAGAGTAAGCTACATACATCACAGGCTTTTTTCCTTCAGTGTATATTTTCTAAGGATAAGGATATTCTCTTATACACAGCTCTAGTATAGTTACCAACTTCAGGAAATTGAACACTGACACAATACTTAAATTCGTTAGGTTCCCTTAATCTAGACCATTTCCACAGCCTTTCTTTGTTTTTTATGGTAGTGATACTTTTTATTTTTTTTATTTTTTTTTATTTTTGACTGGTAAGGGGATCGCAACCCACAGCATGGTGTGGTCTGCACCACACTCAGCCAGTGAGCACACCGGCCATTCCTCTATAAGATCCGAACCCACGGCCTCGGCGCTACCAGCGCCACACTCTCCCGAATGAGCCACGGGGCCGGCCCTGGTAGTGATACTTTGAAAGGATACAATTCCTCCTCCCACTACTTTTTAAGAAAGCATTTGTCTGATATTTCCTCATGATTAGATTCAGATTATATTCTTGGCCAGAATCCCACATAGGTGATGTTGTGTCCTCAGGATATTTCATCTGGGGGCACATGATGTTTGCATCCGTCAGTGGTGATATTAGTTATGATCCTGATCAAAGTATGGTCCAATCACTACACTTAATTACTGTTTCCCTTACGTCAGTAAGCAATCTGTGGGAGACGCTTTATCACCATGCAAACATGAGACAAATATCCTCATACATCTCTGTTTAGTTTTAGCATCCACTGATGAGTCTTGCTTGATCTTTACTACAACGATGGTATACGCTGGTTTTTCCTGCTACAGCTTTCGCTCCACATTTACTAGTTGGCACATGGCATTTGATAAGCAGGACTCTCTCACATTGCTCCTCATCCATCCATCCATCCACCCATTACCAGTAGGGGCTGATTAATTCCTCCTCCACAATTGTCTGCAACTCATACTGTACTTTACTATTTTGGTGCTCAGATTGTCCCAAATCTAACCAATAAGAGTCCCTTTATCATGCTGGTTTGTGTGTCCTTCTGACATCTTTTTTTTCTTTTTTTTAAAAGAAGTTCCTTACTATGGGCCCTGACAACATGTTCCAAAGATTATCTTGTGCCACCCCTGAAATTAGCCATTCCAGGAGTGTGGTTCATTTTAGAGGGCAGTAATATTAGAGACTAAGATCCAGTTGCTCAGGTGTGCTCTTACTACAGGGGTATCTTTGTTTCACACATGCATATATACACATATATGTGCATAAATACACGCAAGCACGTATATTAGAAATCATGAGTTCTGGGCCGGCCCCATGGCTCACTTGGGAGAGTACGGCACTGGTAGTGCCGAGGCCGCGGGTTCGGATCCTATATAGGGATGAGCTGGTGCGCTCACTGGCTGAGCGTGGTGCGGATGACACTGAGCCAAGGGTTGCAATCCCCTTACCGGTCAAAAAAAAAAAAAAAGAAATCAGGAGTTCAGAGTGATACCCTTATTCATCCCTGCAAGGTTCGTTCCTGCCTCCCTTTATTCTGTATTTGCATGTTCCTTCTTTCTCAGTACGAACCCGTTTACTCATTTGGTCAATTCTTAAATATGCCCAGATAACGTTTCAAGACCTGTAGGAGAGCTGTTCTAACAGTTTTAGACTAGAAAAACTAACCTACATGATAGACAAGTTCATTTTTAAATTAAGAATTAGGGGTCAAGTTCAATCAACAACTCATGTTGCCGGCAGCTGGGCCGCAATGCTTTTCTGAGAATACAAGCATGAGTTGTAGATTCCATCCTTACTTCATTTTTTTTTTCTTTCCACACATGTTTGTAGCCTCCTGAAAACCATGTGTAGGTCTCGGGGTATATGCATCATGCTAGGAACCGTAAGACTTCAGGATAAAGGGCTTCTCTCAGAAATGCTTGGCAGAGTGACTAGCTCATGCTTCTGAAATACTAGTTTTGGGATGTTTAGCTTTTTTTCAGGATAAATCTGCTGCTCTCTTTTCAGGAACTCCTACAAACCCTATACCTGCCTGGAGGAGGCTGCAGTCAACATCTTATGCCAAAGTCTGCTCTCAAGCACTGGATCCCCTTTTCTTCCCATCTCCAAGTCTCATTAGGTAACTCTGGTTTGTTTGCTGCCATGAACTCTGACCTGCTCGGAAGGCTCTGAATCAAGCACAGGGGAAGGTCCAGGCCTTTTGTCAAGTGGGCACTGAATGGCACAGTCTCATAATCCCCATGGCACCAACATTTGTCTGACATGTCATCTATACCTACAGAAAGCTAGGAGTCATTAAATCTCAGTATTTTCTTACAGAGATATTTAGAATACTGCTAGGAAATACAGTCTGTCATCATTCAAAACCACAGTTCAATTAGAAGCTTTACTTTTTTTCTCTCTTGAATTACAAAAAAGCTAAGACATCCCGTAGGATGCAGATAAAGGGCTATGCTTGATCTTCCTTTTATAGAAACCAAAAGAAGACATTCCCAGAGAGTCATCCATTCACTAATTTCCTCCACAGTCATTTGTAGCTAGCCAGTGGACACCAAGCACCTCACCTGGTGCTGGAGACTCAAATATACAAAAACCACTGATACTTGCTTTCTGTTCCCTGAAACAGGCCCACAGGGGTATGTGCCATGAAGTCATCTTACAGGTGGCAGGACAGAAGACTGCTGGACATGTTCTAGCATGTCATCTACAACATGACTTTGCATTCTTGGGCACACAACAGGCAGAATTAGTGAAGGAGGGCAATGAAGAGCAGAGTAATGGGCAAGAGGAAAGGCCCAGAAGCAGGAAACAGCTCGTTCTGTTGCAGGAACTGCAGGAGATGTTGCTAGCGTGTGAGAGCTAGCAGAAACTAGAAATGGCCTGGGCCCAGAGGTTAGGCTACTGGGAGGTCGGGGAGGGCAGACCTTATGCCATCCCAGGGAGTCTGGAGGTGATCCTGTGAGCCTGAGGAAGCCACTGAGGAATTTAGGTATAGAAGAAAAATGGTCCAGGTCCACGTGGCCATAGGTAGAGAAAGGGGGCTGGTAGAGCTTACTACAACAGTCCAGGTGGGAGAGGAGGACCTGGAGTAAGGAACTGAGGACAACAATGCTTATGATTTGGACAGAGGTGCAAGCCCCCTTCCAGCAAATATGTTCCTAAGGGTCTCCAACTTGTGGAGTGAACTCTGCCATCTAGTTTCCCACATGCCTAACAAAACAGAAGGATGCTTTCCTCCCTGAAATCATTCCCTAGTGATGATGCTCTCCTTTGGCTGGGAAAATTTTCTGTGCCTTTAAGTGCAGGTAGATGTATGAACATTTTGACAAAGCAAAACAGTAAGACTGCAGTGATTTAAATACACTATACTTGAAATATAAATCTTTAACAGCTAGATTACATATGCCAGTTTCCTACTTCACTTCTGTGCCCATCCCCTTTAAGTATATTTAACCCGGCACAGTAAGAGAAAAACTTAGATGTAACAATTAATATGAGTGGAGACACAGTCTGCAGAGTTATATAACTCCAGAACTGGGCCTATGACAGCTACTTAAGGGTGTATAGGTTACACCTAACTCTAAGAGGCGACATTTGCTACCTGTGTGGCCACATGCAGTGGCCCTGAGTGACATGGATTAGAGCCAATCAGGGCTTCAACTTGGCAGAACTTTCTTGCAGATGTTGCCCCTCTCTGTCAAAGTTAAAAACACCTGCAGTCAGAATTATATGTGGTGTATTTTACTATGATATTTTTGCGCATACTTTATTAAAATTGGAATTTACCCTCAAAGGAGATAATGTGGCATGGATCTGAATTCTAAGCTCTGATTCTTACTAACTGTATGATCTTGGGGATGTTACTTAATCTTTATCAGCCTCAGTATGCTCATCCATAGAAGGGAAAATACGAGGGTACTTAAGTCTGTGGAAAAATACAACTGAAAGATAATACAAATCTTTGCATAAACTTTTTGAAGTATCCTCATACATCAAAGGTTTGTTATAAAACAGGATGAAGTACAGAAAATACCTAGACTCACTGGCAGTAGGTTCTTAGCAAATATTAACTGGCTTCATATTAGGAAATGGAGAACATACCTGAGAGCTTAGGCCCATTTTAATAAGCCACTCTTTCCTACTGTACTTCAGTGTCAGGCATGACTGGGCAGCACCCTGACTTCACACTGACAGGGATCCATCCAGCCTCAGGTCATTGCTGAGGGACAAGCCAGATCCCTCCCCCTCCCCCCACCTCATCCACTCCAGCAGCCTCTAAGTCTTATCAAACTCAGGCACATGGCTATGATCCCTAGGAAGGAAGAGACTCCATCCCCAGGGCTTCCGAAGTCTTTGTTTACAACTCTCTTGAGGGCCTGGCCACATGATCTTTTCCTTTACTTTCCCTCTTACCACAGGGTAAAATCCACGAGTCCGTGCCAGGCCTTGTCTTTTTGTCCACAGCACCCAGCACAACATCTGTAATGCTGATGCTGCCAGATGAACAATGAATGGATGATTGGATGGATGGATGGATGGATGGATGGATGGATGGATGGATGGATGGATGGATGGATGGATGGATGGATGGATGGATGGATGGATGGATGGATGGATGGATGGATGGATGGATGGATGGATGGATGGATGGATGGATGGATGGATGGATGGATGGATGGATGGATGGATGGATGGATGGATGGATGGATGGATGGATGGATGGATGGATGGATGGATGGATGGATGGATGGATGGATGGATGGATGGATGGATGGATGGATGGATGGATGGATGGATGGATGGATGGATGGATGGATGGATGGATGGATGGATAGACGGACGGACAGGGGAGTGGGTAAGTGAGTGAACTGTGAGGACGGTACAGACACACTTTCAAAATGCAAGAGGAGTGATTCCATTCATTCGCTGCCCTGAAAAGGACAAAGGGAAGCAAAGAGGAATTTTAGAAAGATGCTCCTCTTTTGGGGGGTGGGTGGGCATGTATGTGGGTAGGGGAAGGAAATAATGATGTTTATGGTGAAATTCACAGAGTGTAGAGAGTAGAAGAGGCCAGTCAAGGGAAAAGAAAGGTGATACAGGTTTTCAAAAGGCTGATTCTAGGTTACAAACATTTTTGTCCTGCTTAGGACATGAAATTTATGCAGACTGGTTAGTTAGAAAGACTGCCAGCACAAAAATTAAATGCACTTCATTTAAATAGAAATCCTCATAAGCTTCAAGAATGACCATCTCATGAGGACTACTAAGGAAAACAGGATTCTTTCATAATGCTATTTTGAGAGGATTTCTGGTGTATTTTTTACAGGAAAAACTTATTGACAAGCATACCCCATATGTGATTGATCATACATCCTCAAAATATTTCCTGTCAGAAAAGCTTAAGAATCTATTGGTGTTAAGAATGTCATTTCTGATTGGAGAAGATAGACATTGTGCCAGGAGCTCCATGAGGTTAAAGAAATGGCTATGGTATTCTGAAGATTAGTGTGCAAGCTAAGGCTGTGAAAGTATGATTTTCTTTAACATGAACTAAGCAGAAATGAAAGTGGTTAAAAAAACACAACACTTCATTTAAAGAAATGCTAGAGCCAGTTAGAGATGCTGGGAAGGTGAAGAAAATGCTAAGCAAGAAAACATTATAGAAATTCCGTGAAAGCAAAGCATTTCTGGGAAACAATAACATCTACAGTTTTCAACACATGTCCATATACATGAGTTAATTAATTTCTGCCAATAACTGTGTGAGGTAATTGTTATTTTTAATAAACTGGTGGTATAACTGAGATGCAAAGTCAACTGACTTTTCCAAGATCTCAGAGCTGGTGAGAGGTAGTCTCGTGCAGTTCTCTCGGTATTACCAACCAGGGGAAGAC